TCCAGGGATGCTGACCAAAAAATATACTATTTAGAAGTTGTCTGTGTCTATTGGTGGTGGTAGTGATAGCGGTGGTGGTGGTGAGATGGTGATGATAATGATGATAATGATGAAGAAGAAGAATGTGTTTAAAGGCAATGTAGAAAAGTCTATGTAATGACCTGCTCTCATTTTAAGAAAAATGATTATAGTATAATTGCATATAATTAAGACACTAAAGTCTCTTTTAAGAAATCACACTTGTCATTTGGTTAGAAAATGGCCAGATTGTTTTTTGTGAGTGAGGGGAATATTAAAAAGTATTATTTCTATTTTTTCATTGAAGCATGCATTTAAATTAAGGTCCACAAATTAATATTTGTCCATTGATGTAATAGAAGTGGCCATTATTGAAGTTAGATACAAGTTTTTGGCACTTGTGATTGTGATTATGTCTTCAGAGAAATGATGCAGTCTAAAAAACTGATGTATTCTTTTTTAAAATGTTTTTTTGGCTTTTAAAGTAACATTTATTTTTTAAAAGTTAATTTGTGAATATATAGGAAACTGAAAAGCACAAGCAAAGAACAAAGTCATCCATAATCACTAGCAGTTTATAGTCTGACGTGTCCTTCTAAGTCCTGTGATCTACACAACTAAGCTTCTATTTTTATGTAGTTAAGATGGTACAGTTATATATCATGCTTTCTCACACATCATGAATGCTTACCATTTCAAAGTCTCAAAGCTAGGAGTATTTTTTAAAATCTTTTTCTAAAGATTTAAAAAATTGATTTCAGAGAGGAAGTGAGAGGGAAGAGAGAGAGAAAGATGAGAGAGAATTATGGATTGGCTGCTTCCTGCATGCCCCCTTTTAAATTGTTCAGTCATTATAATTTATTGGGTGTTTTTCATGGGCAAGACCATACCAAATGCTCAGGGTCATACAAAGATGACTAAGACTTAGGCCCATTTCCCATGAAGCTATAAACTAATGTGGAATGTGTGTGCACCAAGAACACAATAAAGGGAAGAAAAATACTCTCCTTAAAGGTATTTTATTTTAAAGATAAAAAGTTCTTGTTTAGAATTAAGTCCAGAAGAGAGCTTCTTCTCTCTTCTTTAATCATTAGGGAGATGACAAGGTCAAGTAACACTATGAGAACATTAAGTTTGTATTACATTTAAATAAAAATTTAAGTAATTATATAAATACTAGAGGCCTGGTGCATAAAATTTGTGCACTGGGGGTGTGTGTCCCTCAGCCCAGCCTGCACCCTCTCCAATTTGGGACCCTTTGAGGGATGTCCAACTGCCCATTTAGGCCTAATCCTAATGGAAGGATTGGGCCTATACGGGCAGTCAGACAACCCTCTCACAAACCAGACTGCTGACTCTCAACTGCTCACCTGCCTGCCTTCCTAATTGCCCCTAACTGCTTCTGCCTGCCAGCCTGATCACCCTCTAACCACTCCCTTGCCAACCTGATTGATGCCTTACTGCTCCCCTGCCAATCTCTTTGCCCCTAACTCCCCTTCCCTGCAGGCCTGGTCACCCCTAAATGCCCTCCCGTGAGGGCTTGATTGCCCTAAACTGCCCTCCCTTGCAGGCTTGGTCCCTCCCAACTGCCCTCCACTGCTGGCCATCTTGTGGTGGCCATCTTGTATCCACATGGAGGCAACCATTTTCTGTGTTGGAGTGATAATCAATTTGCATATTATTCTTTTATTAGATAGGATTTTTAAAAAGCTGTCTTTGTATTCCCACACATTCCAGGGAAGGAAGTGTATAAATCAGTCAGAGAATGTCACATAATTTAAAAGTCAATTCATCAGGCTATCAAAAGTTAATAGTGGTATCATGAATCAAATTAAATTTAAAATATATACTGGAACTACCCATGGTCTGTCACTTTCTACACTATATATTTCTGTAATTTTGTAAACATTTATAACGACCAAGCATTGCATTTGTAACAAGGAAAAAACATGTTCATAATACATGTGGAGATTACATTGTGCTAATTCTCTAGAAAGGTAGCTGCCAGGCTTCTTTATCAAAATGAAAATATATTATAGAAGTTCAAAAAATATGAAAAATAGAAGAAAAAAATCACCTGTAAAGCTCTCACACTAGTCCAACTATTACTAATGTTACTAATGTGTTTCTTTTCTTTCCTTTTTTCCCCTATATATTGTGAGGTTATTTTTAAATGATTAAATAGTAATATTCCTCAATAATACTTAACTCTCAAGAAGAAGAATATTTTCTTCATATGTATCCAGTTCTGTGTTTTGGCCCAGATGGGATGGTAGTAACATGGAATGTTTACATGAAAAGATAATATCTTTTCCTAAGACCTTAAATTGATCTATCCAGAAATATTCAAACTTTTATATCTTCCAGTAAGTAAAATCTTTATGTTCTTGATTTAATCTCCTGTGGGAGCCCCTTCCATGTACCGCATGGTTGAGGTTCAGGGTTCAGGTTCTGGAGAAGGCCACACACAAATAAAAAGAGACTTGAAAAGTATTAATTTGGGAGATGGGGGCCAAGCGGGAGTCCACCTCTAGGGGAGGACTACACAGTGCTCTGGCTTTGCTATCCCTTTTATTAAGGTGATGAGATACACCCATATCCTTTAGGCAGGAAATTCCAATAATAGACAGCCAGCAAGAATTTACATATGATAGCCGAAACCAGTTTGGCTTAGTGGTAGAGCATTGGTTTGTGGACTGAGGAGTCCCAGGTTCAAATCCCGTCAAGGGCATGTACATTGGTTGCGGGCACATCCCTGGTAGGGGGTGTGCAAGAGGCAGCCCGTCGATGTTTCTCTCTCATCGACGTTTCTAACTCTCTCTCCCTCTCCCTTCCTCTCTGTAAAAAATCAATAAAACATATTAAAAATGAAGAATTTACATATGATTAACTGGTGGAGGTTGCTTTAACTACTAATGTCTCAACTAAACAATGAGTGATTAGCTTTGACCATAAAGAGCTATTAAGGTTGACCAGCCTTCCAGATTCCCTTTTCGAATTTCTCTATTAGTGACAATGATCAGTTTCCAGCACTCTCCTGTAGATGGGGCCACACTAACAGTCAGTAAATATCCAGATTTCATTGGTACTTGTCTCTACCTGCTCACATAAGACCCTAATCTCCTGAAAGGTTTCCCCAAATTCTATTGGAAGTTCAGGTGAGTTTTTACACACACTATAAAGAAAACCAGTTAACTATTAGTCAGCTACCATCCCCTTCCCCATTCCTCTCTGTAACCTTCATAGGCTCGATATTGCTGAGCGCCCAGGCACTGCCGCCTCCACCAGGGTGCAGCCATGGAGGCCTGGGAGCTCTGCCATGCCCAGCACTGCAGTGGTCTGTGGGGAAGCAGCAGGGCTGGTCCCCTTCTCCTCTCCTATGAGGGGGTCCTCAGTAGTGCCATTTGTGTTCCACATCTTACCAGATTTTTATTGAAATAGCTTTTTACTATTTCATACATAAAGCCTTACTACTCAAAGTGTGGTCCCTGGACCAAGCAACACTTGGCAGAATTGTTAGAAATGTGGAACCTCAGGCGCCATGAATCAGAATCTTCTGCTTAATAAAAGCACCAGGTGATTTATATACAAATTTCAGTTTGAGAAGCATCTGCTTAAAGTGCCTTCCGGGACCAACACAGGAATTCAATTAGGGACAAGGGTTAGGTTGAGAAGCAAAACTGACAAATAATAAGACTTAAAAAAAAAAATCCTCATTTGAGGATAATTTTTTTCCCATTGATTTTTAGAGATAGTGGAAGAGAGGAAAAGAGAGAGAAACATCAATGTGAAAGAAACACATAGATTGCTTGCTTCCTGACCAGGGCCCAAGCCAGGGAGTAGTAAGTGGAACCAAGGTAAATGCCCTTGATCAGAATCAAACCTGGGACCCTTTGGTTCACAGGCCAATGCTCTATCCACTGACCAAAATCAGCTAGGGCTAGTAGGACTTTTTGTAATGACCTCTTCCCTTTGATGATCTTATTTATCCTTGTGACTGGGCCAAAGTTAGAATGCTTGGCTCCTTCATAGCAGGATAGCTTCCCCTCAGGAAACTCCCAGGCTCCTCACCGCCTGCTAGTGATAGACTTGGTGACCTGCCAATTCTATGTCAGTTCCACCAGAAATGGCTTAGGCAAGATCCAGATCACGGAAATCACACTGCTGCCCACGCTAACTACACTTTCATGTAATAAGTTTTGAGTTCACACCTATCATTTGCAAATCACTTCATTATGGGCAGTGGGACTACCAAGATAAGTACTAGTAAAACAGTCTCTACTCTAAAAGGAGTCTAATAAAGTGGTAAATGCTGAGGCAGGTCAGACGTTCTGGGAGACCATTTGAGGAAGGGGGCAAAAGCCTCCCAAATGCAGCAGCCTTACTGCAGTGATGAGAAAGCATTACTGTGTCTGATCCCTGCAGCCTGTGTGTGCCAGTTCTCCAGGTGGAACGTCCTTCTTCCATTTCTGTTTCCTATATTCTTACCCCCCTTCCCAGTCCAGTTTCAAATGCCGATTTATCAGTGAAATCTGCCAGAATCCCCTCAGCTACATGTGCTTTGCCACTTCAGAAATCTCCATCATATCCTGTCTTAAGATCAATTTTGTGCATTACAGCCTTATGGAGTGGGGGTTATGTCCCTACCGACAAATAATACATTTTAGTCAGTCTTCTTAGATTCCCCTAGTATAATGTGCCATAGATTGGTTTTAAAGAAAAGACTATATATTAAAGCTAACACATCTTCTCTGTTACTACTTCTCTAATCAGGAAGTAGATCAGCCTTCTCCAATCATAGAGAAAACGTGGGAGAAAGTTCTCTACACTGGCTGGGATATTTAAGAGAATTAACTTTTCTTCCCCCCCCCCCCCTTTTTTTTTTTTTTTTTTTTTTTTTTTTTTTTTAGGTGAGAATGCTTCTTTCAAGCAGAAACAATGTCTTCATTCACAGATGAGTAGCAATTAATCACAGCTGGGAGGAATTTCATCTAGTTTTCAGCTGAATGAAAGTGACTATCTGCCTACTAGTATTTAGGGAGTCCATAGCTTGCTGAGTAGCACTATTTATTCCCGGTTTTCTCTAAAGCTGTGATGGCAGCCATGCGACCTGTCTCTGAAGAGTGTAGGATTGCTATTAATTATGTGGCTTCTTTTGAGCTGCACATCAGTGATGCTTATTTATCTATGGTTAGTATGGTTGTTTGAGCCACTGGGAGGGAAGTTTCAGCTCGGATATATCCTATGTCTTTTTCGTGATGGTGGTTATGGCCATGTTTGTGTTGTGATGACAGATGAAACAGCAACTTGGTGCCTAGGATTTTGCTGCTTTGTGGCTAATGATTTAGAGCTGTTACTGCAAACTATGGGCTATTATTGGAGAATCAGTTCTTTTCAGTAGGTTACCAAAACCATATAAGCATCAGACACTGGAGGTAGACAGAATAAGTAATTTTTCTCCCATATTCAATTTTAGAGGTAATGTAGATGTGTTCAGATTGGTGAAATAGGTTGACTTTAAAATGACATTTAATTTATTCTGAACTTTTGCTGTGTTTAAACAATTATTGGATATAAGTGCTAGCATGTGGGGTTTATAAATCTGGTCATTAAAGAGGCCATAATAGCCAAAGATTACACCTAAGATATTAAAATCTGGATTGTCTTTTTTTTAATTATTATTATTATTAGATAATTTGGGTTTGAAAGATAGCTGGGGTCTTCAGGAAGTCAAAGGACAAACAAAGAGGGCTTTTTACGGGACAACCACAGAGACAACAAAGGGAATGTGTAAGATTTTCAACTTTAAAAATTAGCTTGTCCTCATTCCCACCTCTGTCCCAGGCCTATTGTTATCCTCCTGACACAGAAGAACCTATTTTTTCTGGATTCTTTGAAGACCAAGCTGAGTTGAAAAGGGATCATGGAAAGCAATTCCTAAAATATCTAATAGAACGTGAGAATAATATCTGTCTTCCTGTGATTAAGGTGACTATATAATTTGTCCTAATGATTTTAATGGGGTCTAGAGAACTGTTATTTGTTGCCACCTAACTTGTTGGGTTACTCATATTTACACACGGGATTACAGTAACCACCTTTGAGTGCAAGCAACTGTGCTCTTTATAACCTCTTCATATCTTATCAATCGTTGTACTATTGATATTTGGCTCTGTTGACTAATGAGTTTGCCGACCACTGCCCCAGGTGACTTCCCTGTTTCTCTCCTACAGAGGCCTGATGTAGATAACTGGTACACCGGTGTAAAAGCTGTGGAATATGCTCTGGAGTTGGAGAACCAGTTAAGCCAGCTCCTGATAGACCTGAAGACAACGGCTTCTGCCGACAATGACAATCATGTAAGTAGTAACTGGTTCTGAATTCATGTCTGAATTAGGACTTGCTTCTTGGAAGAGGGCCCAAGGCTTAACTGGTTCTCCAATTCCAGAGCACACTCGAGAGCTTTTCTGCTGATTTGCCAGTTACCTACCTCGGGCCTCTGCAGGAGAGAAACAGGGAAGTCACCCCGGGGCACAGCTTTCTCAGATTAGACTTCCTAGGTCAAATTATGTCTAGGTTCTTAGTATAACCCAACACTTTCTAAACTTGTTTCCCCCCAAAGAAGTATGTGAACTTACTTCTGGGAGTAGTAAATTGGAGGTGGGAGGAGTAGGTGCCCTGGTAAGAGGGAATGCAACTCAACACAAGAGGGAGAGGGCTTCCCAGGAAAAGTGTGCTCTGGATAATTAAACAAAATGACTTTTGCTGCTGGCTTTTAGGCGCCAGAATCACCTGGAGGGGTTACTCAAGCAACCTGCTAGGCCCTACTCCCCAGAGTTTCTGATTCAATGGCTTTCCTGTGGTGTCTGAGAATTTGCATTTCTAAGAAGTTTTCAGGCTATTCTGCTGCCTGCTGGCTAGGGGACACACTTTGAGAACCACTGTCCCTGATGGCCCCTGCGAAAGTGAATGTTAATGGTGACTTATTATCATGTGGTCTGGTTAATGGTGTGCACTCCACCTTGTGGTGGTGACTTCTTTCTCGCTAACCCCATAGCATATCAGGAAATCAAAATGAGGAAAAATCCCTGTACAAAAGTTATTAACTCTAGATGCTTATTGGACTGGCTTAGTTGCTTAGAAGAGATAGTTCTGAATGCCTGAGCCTTATGGCCACTTCTAAATCTTTGGGCATTGGGTCTGGGCATCTACTTAAATCTCCATGTGATTCAAAAAAACAGGATGGGAAACCACTGAAGTACAGATTAACTTAATTTGATTAAGTTAATCTGTACTTTTGATGAGATGCCCTAACACTCATATTCATTGAAAGAGGGTATTTGTATTCACCTTGAGGTTTTGAATGTCTTAAATTAGTGTCCTTTGAACGTCTATATGCATATTAACTGTGGAGTCCTTTTTTAAACTGCACTCTCTGATCTTGTAGGTTTGGAGTGGGACTTGATATTCTTTTTTTCTTTTTTTTTTTTCTTTTTTTTCCTATTTATAGCCAGGTAAAGGGAGTATAAATTTATTTTACAATATTTGTTTATAGGTTTGTTTTCCATTTTATTTTATTTTTTTAAATAAATCTTTATTGTTCAGATTATTACAAATGTGATCCTCTTCCCCCCCTCAATTGCTCCCTTCACCAGGTTCCCACCCCACCCTCTGTCCTTTCTCCATCCCCCATTGTCCTCATCCATAGGTGCACAGTTTTTGTTCAGTCTCTTCCCCCACCCCCACTCCCCTTTTCCCTGAGAATCGTCAGTCCACTCCCCCTTCCATACCTCTGATTCTATTATATTCACCAGTTAATATTGTTCATCAGATTTTTAAATTCCCTTGGTTTTTAGATTCACTTGTTGATAGCTACGTATTTGTTGATCATAATTTTTATCTTTACCTTCTTCCTCTTCCTAAATAACCTCCTTCAGCAATTCATATAATTCTGGTTTGGTGGTGATGAACTCTTTTAGCTTTTTTTTATTTGTGAAGCTCTTTATCTGTCCTTTGATTCTGAGTGATAGCTTTGCTGGGTAGATTATTTTTGGCTGTAGGTTCTTGTTATTCATCACCTTGAATATTTCTTGCCATTCCTATCTGGCCTGCATGGTTTCTGTTGAGAAATCAGCTGACAATCTTATGGGTGCTCCTTTATAGGTCACCACCTGCTTTTCTCTTGCTGCTTTTAATATTCTCTCTTTGTCTTTTGCTCTTGGAATTTTAATTATGATATGTCTTGGTGTGGTCCTCCTTGGATTCCTTTTGTTTGGGGTTCTGCGGGCTTCCTGGACTTGTAAGTCTATTTCTTTCCCCAGGTGGGGGAAGTTTTCTGTCACTATTTCTTCTAGTACTTTCGGTATCTTGCTCTCTCTCTTCTGGAATCCCCATAATTCTGATGTTGGTTCGCTTGAAATTGTCCCAGAGGTTTCTTACACTATCTTCAACTTTCTGGATTCTCTTATCTTCTCCCTTCTGCAGAGGCATGTCCTCTGGCTCTTTGTGTTCTAAATCTTTGTTTTGATTCTTGCGATCTTCCAGTCTGTTTTTAGGACTTTGTATAATATTTTTTATTTCAGACAATGTTTTCTTCATTTCTTGTTGATCCCTTATTATTTCTAGTTGCTCCCTTTTCATATCCTCATAGGTCTCATTTATTTTATCGGCTTTTTTAAGGATATTGTTGAATAACCTTATAACTGTAGTTTTGAACTCAATGTCCAATCTTTTCTTTTCCTCCATCTCCTTCCTTTGTGTCCTTCTTCTTGTCTGCATTTTAGTTGTTTCCTTGATTTGATGGAATAGCTTTGTGTGCTAGGTGTTCTGGTAGAGCCCAGTAGCACAGCCTTCCCAGTTACCTGCAGTGGACAGTCTTGGTGTAGCCCTTTGTGAGCTGTGTGTGCAGTCTTGTTGTTAAGCCTTGCTTATTGTTGGTATCACTGGGAAGCGTTGATCTCCAAGCCAATTGGCTGTGAGGATCAGCAGTGTCTCAGCTAGGAGGGTTTCTGTACTCTGCTTGAATAGGGTGGGGTCTCTGAGTGGCGCAGACAATCTTTGGTTCCCTGTCAGTCTCGCCTTAGAAAAGTCCTGTTCCTGGAGAGTTTTGGAAGATTGGTTGCAGGCGCGCGCACCTCTTTGGTAAAGGCGCAGACAAGCTTTGGATTCCTGCAAGTCCCTCCTTAGAGAAAGCCAGCCTCTGGGAGAGCTTCTGTGCTCAGCCACAGGTAGGGCGGAGTCTCGGGTTGGTGCAGACAAACTTTGTTTTCCCTTCGGCTCCTCCCCAAGTCCCGCAGTAATGGCCTCTGGCTTCACACACCTCCAAGAGATCTCTGCCCACTGCCTGACAGTCTGGCCTCTCCCTGTCTGGGGCTGTTTATCAGAGCAATAGGGTGATTCTGTTTTCCTCTCGGACAAGAAAGCCAGCCGCGTTAGCTGTTCGCCCTCTCTCTGCGCCAGGAGTAAGCCAGTAGCGAACTCAGCCCGGCCCGCCCTCTCTGCATGCAGGGAGTAAGCCAGCAGCAATCTCGGTCCGGCCCTTCCTTTCCGCCCCGGGATTAACCCAGCGCCTTTTCGCGCACACAGTTCTCCGTACCTTCAGTTCCTGAGGTTCAGCGTGCCTTCTCTCTCCTTCCCAGATGGCAGAGCCTCCTCTCAGCCAGCCGTCTGGCGCTTCAGGGCAATGCCTCCCCTGTTTTTCAGTTCTAAATTCAAATTTGTTGTGGTAGGCTGCATTCGGGTGTCTACCCTATGCCGCCATCTTGGTTTCTCTTGATATTCTCTTTTTCTGACAAGTTCCCAGGACTGCAGGTCCATGAGCTACAATTTGGGTAGCAAGATTTTTTATTTCCTCCTGTTGCAGACAAGGTTGTAAAGGGTTTCCCCATTTATTTCTGCAGTTTTTAAACTTCATGGGAAAGTACCTGGAAAAACAGAAGAAGAATTCAACCTACCTGCAACGCCAGCTTGCATATTATAGAAAAGAAGAACAGCAGGCTCAGGAGGGAGGGACACCGAAAAAGAAAAAGGCCTGCTGAGAAAAAGCCCTTCAGTAAATAGACCCAATATCTGAGGGCAACAAAGCAAGTCTTTTTATTGTATTTGTTCCCCAAATCAGCTATTTAAAGATCTTAATCTTCTCCACTGCTTTCCTTCACTGGTATGTGTACAATTAAACCTATGTTTTTTTGCATTACAATTATGTGTAAAGAGATTGTTATTGATGCAAAAAATGGGTTAATTCCATCAGTGTTTAAGTTTGGTGAAAGCTTCCTAAGGACAATTGGTGCATTAGAAAAGAAAGAAAGAAAGGAAGAAAGGAAAGAAAGAAAGGAAAGGGAAGGAAGGAAGGGAAGGAAGGAAGGGAAGGAAGGAAGGGAAGGAAGGAATGGAAGGAGGGAAGGAGGGAGGGAAGGAGGGAAGGGAAGGAGGGAGGGAAGGAGGGAGGGAAGGAGGGGAGGGAAGGAGGGGGGGAAGGAGGGGAGGGAAGGAGGAAGGAAGGAGGGGAGGGAAGGGAAGGAAGGAAGGAGGGGAGGGAAGGGAAGGAAGGAAGGAGGGAGGGAAGGGAAGGAAGGAAGGAGGAGGAAGGAGGGGAGGGAAGGGAAGGAAGGAAGGAGGGGAGGGAAGGAAGGAAGGAGCCTCCTTCTTCTCCCATGATCCCAACAACACTCAGATGCAGGGTCAAGATTTGGGAATTTCAAATAGACCAAATAGATACAATATAAATTAAGTAGGAAAACCTTAAGTTTCACTAATTGTTTTCTCCCCTTCAGCTTGTATACTACATATTTAAATTTTACAGAAATAGTAGTTTTTCAAATCAGTGTAAAGCTAACCTTAAAAACAAGAGTTCTTGGTCCAGAAATGTTTACTCACTGGAAATGTTTAAGGGAACAAGCAGCCAAAACCCAGGTGTCCTTTCATAACCTGAGGTATGCATAAGGACCAGGAAGGTACACGAGCAATTAAGACAGCAAACAATTGTGTAGATGTGCCTACCTCAGTGGTTGGCAAACTCATTAGTCAGCAGAGCCAAATATCAACAGTACAATGATTGAAATTTCTTTTGAGAGCCAAATTTTCTAAACTTAAACTATATAGGTAGGTATATTGTTATTAACTTAATTAGGGTACTCCTAAGCTGGCCTTTGCTAAAAACTCAAGGGGCCAAAGATCCACATATGACTTGAAAGCTGCAGTATGCTAACCACTGGCCTACCTATCTATTTGGGCAAGCTAGCAATTATTGGGGTAGTTGCTTTCAGGAACAAGCCATGAGCATGCAAGCTGGGATGGTTAGTACCACATGGGAAGAAACGGGGCTTTTTAGGATTGTGTCATGGCCACAAAACTTTCTAATATTTCCATGGCTTTGAGTAAGTTTTTACCTTACTCATTGACTCAGTTTATTCATCTTTAAAGTAGGGTTAATAGTACTTAGTTCATAAAGTTAATGAGAGAATTAAGTAAATTAGCATGTGAAAGTATCTAGAACAGTACCTTTTTAGATTACGTATTAGTTAATTTACATAATAGTATAACCTCATAAACTTGAGGAAAGCTAATATATAATGGAATTATGATGCTAAGTGAAATAAGCCAGCCAGGGAAAGATGAACACCATATAATTTCACTTATATGTGGAATCTAATCAATACAAAGTAGTTTAACAAACAAAATAGAAACAGAAGCATAGATAAATAGAACAGATTGACAGCTGTCCAAGGGGAAGGGATTGGGTGAAAAAAGGTGAAGGGATTACACAAAAAATATGACACATAGGCACAGACACCAGTCTGGTGATAGTGGAAAAGGGTGATGGATGGAGGTGGAAGTGGACAAAAAAGGGACAAATAGGTCCTGAAGAGGACTTGACTTTAGGTGGTAAGCACCTACTGCAGTGTGCAGATGTTTTCTTGAGTTGAATACTTGAAACCTGAATTTTTTATTAACCAATGTCACCCCAATTGGGAGTTGTCCAATTAAAAAAGACACATAACTGAAATTTAGACAAAATCTTAAAACATTTAATCTTAAAAGTATCTCTTTTGAAATGAGGAGTCATACAAAGATCCAATTAGATATACCTCGGGGAAAATTCAAGTTAACAAATGGGTTGAATATTGAAATAGACACAGCTGACCAAACAAGTGATATTTAAGTAAGCTAAGAAATTCTCAGCCAAAGGAATAGAAAATGGTATTTTAAATTTTAAGATATGAAGTTCCAATGAAAGATCTAATTTAGAGCTCCAGGAGAGCAGGGAAGTTGAGAAAAAGATCCATTGTAGCAAAATTGTAGAGTATCAAGCTCACTGTAAAAGACACCACTTACAAAGAAAGAAAACTGTCACATTACTAACAGCTTTCTCGTCAATATTAGATGGACTCTGGCATCCCTATGACAGACAGTTACTACCTTCTAAACACACTTACACTCATACTGCCCACTGTCTTTACTATATTGCACTATTTTCACCAATTATCAAATTTTGAAAATCAAATTTAAGAAATAGATTATCATATAGTGGCTCAGTTCTTCACATTCTACAATATCATACATTACAGCAACACTAACAAAGTACTCATATTAAGTATTACAGGAGCATGTAAGGGGAAACAGCATAGAAATTATTTTTTAATGAAAGAACATACCATGTTCATGGATTGGTAGAATCAACATAATCAAAATGTCCATACTTCCCAAAGCAATCTATAGGTTCAATGCGCTCCCCATTAAAATACCAACGGCATATTTCACTGACCTAGAAAGAACTCTCCAAAAGTTCATTTGGAACAATAAAAGGCCCCAAATAGCCACAGCAATCCTGAGAAAGAAGAGTAAAGTAGGAGAGATCTCAATACAAGATTTCAAGCTGTATTACAAAGCCACTGTTCTCAAAACAGCCTGGTACTGGCACAAGAACAGACACATAGATCAATGGAATAGAATTGAGAATCCAGATATCAACCCAAATCACTATGCTCAATTAATATTTGAAAAAGGAGGCACGAATATACAATGGAGTCAAGACAGTCTCTTCAATAAATGGTGTTGGGAAAACTAGACAGATACATGCAAAAAAATGAAATTAGATCACCAACTTACACCATACACAAAAATAAACTTAACATGGATACAGAGCTTAAACATAAGACAAGAAACCATAAAAATACTAGAGGCATCCACAGGAAGCAAAATCTCAGACATATGCCAAAAGAACTTCTTTCTAGGGCAATGGAAGCTAAAGAGAAAATAAACAAATGGGACTACATCAAAATAAAAAGCTTTTTTACAGCAAAAGAAACCATCAACAAAACAACAAGAAAGCCCACTGTATGGGAGAACATATTTGCAAATGTTACCACTGATAAAGGTTTAATCTCCAACATCTACAGACAGCTAATACAACTAAATAAAAGGAAGATGAATGATCCAATTAAAAAATGGGCAATGGACCTAAATAGAATATTTTCAAAAGAAGACGGAAGGCCAAGAAGCACATGAAAACATGCTCAAAGTCACTAATTATCCGAGAGATGCAAATCAAAACAACAATTCGGTACCATCTCACACCTGTCAGAATGGCCAACATCAACAAATCAACAAACGACAAGTGTTGGTGAGGTTGCGGAGAAAAAGGAACCCTCGTGCACTGCTGGTGGGAATGCAGACTGGTGCAACCACTGTGGAGAACAGTGTGGAATTTCCTCAAAAAACTGAAAATGGAACTCCCATTTGACCCACTAATCCCACTCCTAGGAATATATCCCAAGAAACTAGAAACACCAATCAGAAAGGATATATGCACCCCTATGTTCATAGCAGCACAATCTACAATAGCCAGAATTTGGAAACAGCCTAGGTGCCCGTCAGCAGATGATTGGATCCAAAAACAATGGTACATCTACACAATGGAATACTATGCTGCCATAAAAAAGAAGGAATTCTCATCATTTGCAGCAACCTGGATGGAATTGGAGTACATCATGCTGAGTGAAATAAGCCAGTCAATGAAAGAGAAACACCACACAACCTCACTTATTTATGGATAATTAAGAACATTATTAACTGATTAACCAAACGATAGATATAGAGACAGGAAAGCAACAAGCAGATTGCCAAATTACAGCGGGTAGGGGAGGGAGATCTGAGGGAGATAATAGATCAACCGAAGGACTTGTATACATGCATATAAGTACAACCAATGGACACAAAACTCTTGGAAGGGTGGGTATGTATGGGAGGGAGGGGCAATGTTAAAATATGTACACAGATAATAATTTAATAAAAAAATAAAGTTAAAAAAATCATATTCCTAAAAAAAAGAAAAAAAAAGAAATGATTTTTTAAAGAACCTCAATATCTATTTTCTTCTATGTTTCAAATTGGTGATTTTATTTTTTACTCATTTATTAGGGCGGGGTGGGAGGCTAGAACTATTATTTTGTTAAGTAGAGAAGGAATGTCTTCTAGAAAGGCACTGCAAGCAGGAACACTTCATTCACAACTTGGAGTTGAGGAACCTTTATTGTCCTAATGGTATGGGAAATCCCCATTGTCTTCCTACACCACAAAAGATGCATATGGACACTCAGGAGTCTAACCGTAGATGTAGTCAGTTACAAGTTGACGTCTACTTGATAAACTGGTATTCTTCAAATAGCTGTACTTCTTTTTTTGCCTATTTTCTGTGAATAACTGGCTGCCTAGAGAATCACCTGGAAATGTCTAAATAGATGAAGTGGCTTATGGCAGAGACAGTTGTCCACTAAAAATCTGTTTTCCCTTTCTTCCTTTAATGATGGCACTCCAGGTTTTAGTGGGGGCATACAGCTGTCTCATCAAAGACATAACCATCCTCTCTTGAAGCTTGTGGACCACATTCTGCTCAGGGGAGTGTGAGCAGAACTGTTGCCTCCCACTTCTGCGTTTGTTCTGAAAAGGAACAGACGTGCTCTCCCCTGGCCTTTCTCCACTGGCTGGGAAGTGGAGCAGCCACTCTGAATCCAAAGATGGAATCTGTGTGTTGAGTGTAGATGTAAGAGTTTTCTCTTTGGACTGCTATCTCTGGACATTTGTATCAGAGAAAATACACTTCAATCTTATTTGAACCACTACATTTCAGGATCCTTTTGCTACAGACACTTAATCCC